AAAATCTTTGCCAAATCAAACATACAGATCATCAATAATACTGACAGGACAGATCGGGTTAACCACAACCGCCTTCGGTGCTGTTTGCCAGCAGGGTTGTGGTGGAGACTGTGCCACTGTTGGCTGAAGGCAAGGGAAGAGGAAGGGCGAAGGAGTCTTCAGAGTCATCCATAGAAAAGGAAAGGCCTGAATGTGGAGGTGAGAGTAGGGTCTTGAAATGTAAGGAGCTTGACTGGTAAAAGGAGAGAATGCAAAGTAAGAGAGGCAAGGATGATATGGTTTGGATGTGCAGAAGAGGGATAGCAGATATACTGGACAAAGGATATTGAGAATAGAGCTGCCAGGCAGGAAGAACAGAGAAAGACCACAGGGAAGATCCATGGATGCAGTGCTAGAGACGGGGTGAGATGGTGCCAGATCATATATACTGTGGTGGTGACCCCTAAAAGAAGTGGTCGAAAAAAGTGTTTCGCCTCAGCTGTCTATAAAACCATAAAACACAAAGATTGTTGCAATCAATTTTATAATTCGGTTCTTGCTTTGTGATGACACTGGAGGAACGCAATTATATTTACACCAATGTCAGCATCAGTTAGGTGCTGGCTAAATGTTAAGATAATGTGAAGAGGAAAAACAGGGCCGTTTATTTGAAGTAAGAAAGATATCGTTGTGGTCCTGGTATAAAAGAGGGAATAAACAAATACAAATGCAGAATAAAGAAAGAAAAAAACTTTGGCTATGGACAAAATTGATTAAACAATCATTGCACCCCAGTACCTTTAAACCACCGCTATGTTTGTTTTATAGTGTGAGTCATGCGTTATACTGATATTTCTAACGGGTTAAAAGTCATGTAAGTGCTTGTAATTTTTCCAGGAACAAAGTGGCTCCCTGAACAAGAACATACCACCTATTGGTAAGGCCTTAGCAGCTGTGTACATTACACTGTGATATGTTTGTTTCTGATGCAACTTTATTTGACATCTCTGTGTCTACAATGTCTAAGGTTGCAAAAGTAGGATATTTTATTTAACAAACGTTATTATTTATCAGAAATTCATTTATAGCATGTTAATGCACATAAAATCCTGATCATCACAGTATTTCATAAGATGTTAAGAGTATAAAAATAACAAGGTGGAAATGTACACTTTTGGCTTAACCTGGGAATTATATGTTAATGCATTTGTTTATGATTCTTCTGTCCCCTAATTGCAGGTAGTAGTGGTATAGACCACAAACCTCATGGAGCAGACGTCTCAAGTTTCCTCCATGAATATCCAGTCTGTGTGTCACAGGACAGATGGACAGTGAGAGGAGAAGAGGTGATAAAACAGACACTAGGGCTGTGCGATATGACCAATATCTCATATCCTGATATAAGAATTCTATTGTCCTGATAACGATATAAATCGCAAAAATATAACATTTTTGTAAATTCTGTGAATCTCGGGCAGCTCGACTTGCGGGAAGTGTTTCCAGCTGCGCGTCATGTAGCTGGAGTCGAGTGTTTTAACCGATGCATGAAACTATACATTTTTAGACATAAGTTGTAACAGCCGCCGTTTTCTTTGTGAGTATTTAGACTTAGAGACTTAGAGCTTTTTATTGTCATTGTGCAGTTTCTTGCACAGTGAAATTGGGTAGCTGAACCACAAAGGTGCTAAAGTAAGAAGAAGAGAAACCAATATACAACGTGCTGCGGGGAACAGCCTGTTCTAACGTTCGAGTCTAAGGTTTATTTTTTAGCACCTGGCGGCTCTTTTTTTACTTCTCATTCGTAAAAATTTTTGAAGTCTCAACAGGATCTTGAGCTTTATTGTGAAAGGTTTATGTGGAACATAAACAAGCGGACACGCGATGGTTTTACCGTCGTTGTTGCTAACGACAACGCATAAAAACATGCGCTTGTCCGTCCTTAGTGTGGTTATATAAAATATAAGAGAAAGAGAGAACTTTAGGAAATTAATATAGCCACTACAGTGACCATTAAAACGATGAAAAAATATTGCCGTAAAGAGTTTATTTTTGCGACACCACGAAACAAACGATAGCGTAAAATGAAACGATAGACGTTTTTATATCGTCATCCGATATATATCGTTATATCGAACAGCCCTAACAGACCCATCCAAATATTTTTCTTTTTACCCACCATGGTTACATTTTTTTTTTTCAAATCTTTATCTATCAAAACAAAAAACAGGACTTTATCCTTTTACTTCTAACCTTGTGGCTACTTCTTTCTTTCTAGCGTATCCAAGAAAACTTGTTGCATCCATGTTTTAATGCAGAGGGAAACATTAGTCTGGTAATGTTTTGTAATTTATGATTTATAGCCAAGTACTCTATATCTCCCAATCTCACATTTAATCATTACGTTTTGTATTCCTTTCGTTTTCTTTCAGAGGAGTCCAGGTCCCATGATGGAGTACTTGGTGTATCTTAATAGCCAGCATTATGGGGCAGATTGTCCCAGTAACGGACCTGCCAGCCCCGCTGTCTCTCCAGTAGGCAACTGGCCTCGTCACTCTACACCCATTCCTAGTTCACTGACAGCTATTTCTACTACTGTTAGCTCCATGATGACTAGCTTCATGACTGATTCATGTAGTCCCATTGGTTTTATATGTGGTGTCACTACTTCAGCCACAGACCCTCTAATGTCCACCCCCAAGAGTCTCTGCTGCTCTGACCAGGATCCTGCCAGTGCTGCAGCTTACCTTCACCTCCTGGGAGAATCGTTATCCCTGATTGGACACCATCTCCAGGAGACAGATGTGAGTAGATTCAATTAAAAAAAATCTTTTTATAAGACACTTAATGTCTTTTGTTCATCTCTCACATGTATTCTTCATCTTGCTTGTATAAATTCAGAAACGAGGGGTAATAGTGTTCCCAGAACCAGAACTACTTTATATCTTTGCTAATCAGAAGTAAACATAGAAGAGATTTTGATCTTAAACAGATACTGTGAAGGCCTCGATAATTGGAGTGTATCCCAAGATAGTTGGTGGGAGTTGAAACATTATACAGTCCTACAACGTGGTGCTTTCTTTATCTTTTTCTGTCTATATTCCAAACTGGTTCACAGAGGCCTGTTTTCACAAAGCGAGTTTAACATAGCCAAGCTATCTTTCCCTTATCTAGATTAACTTGTTTTAACATTGGCAATCAGGATAAACGGTCACATGAGGCTGGTTATCAACTTGTTACGCTAACCTAGGGTGAAAAATGTTGGCAGTCTCTAACCAGTCACTATTATAGATAAGTGTACTGTCAGCAGAGTGACTCATTTTACAAAGGAAGATGAAACAATAGTGTGCGAAAAAATATCAAGAGGTTAAACTGACTGAAAAGCAATAAAGCTGCTACAGACGAAGCAGTGCTCTAAGTGTGTGTGTGTGTGTGTGTGTGTGTGTGTGTGTGTGTGT